CTCTTCCTTCCTTCCTTCCTTTCTTTCCTCCTTCCTTCCTTCTTTCCTTCCTTCCTTCCCTCCCTCCCTCCTTCTTTCCTTCCTCCTGCCCTCCCTTCCTTCTTCCAGTTAAAGACTTTTCTTGGGCAAACAGCAGCTAACAAAATAGACAAGGACTACGTCCTCATAAAGCTATGGTAAAAGGTTGACTTTAAACTAATTTTTAAAATGGTGACATCTACCATTTTACCTCCTTCTGTTTTTCCTATTCTTCACTGTTTTAGGGCTAAAGTAAAATACTGCCTGCTGAGATTGTAAAGTTGAAGAAGCATGAGCTACAGAATAAAAAACCTGATTGAAATTCCAGCTGAACCACTTATGACCTATTGGACCTTCAGCAATTTACTTAACCCACAAGAAGCTTTTTTTCTTCATGTGGCCAGATGGCCAGTGGTCCATTCACAAATGGATGCATCCCCTTTTCATTCTTCTTAATTTCCTCTCTTGTACTTTCTTAAATAAGCTACCCCAGATTTGCTGTTGATTTTGCATGAAGTCATCTCTCTTCTTGGCATATAGATACTCATTGACCTAATGACTCCAGTTCTTCATTTAGTAAAATTGAAGATTTTGCTGGATTTAGTAAAATCTTACTGAAAATAGTATATGTACAGAAAAGGACACAACTCACAAATATACAGCTTAAAGGATTTTCACAAACTGATCAAACTCATGTAACCAATATCTATATCATGAAATTGAATATTATTAGCATCCCAGAAGCCCCTGTTCCCTTTTCGGGTCACCACAACCAAAAGATTAACTACCATCTTTATTTCTAACACCAATAAGAACACTGTGGGGATTCTTACTTAGGGCTTCTTTTATTAAATTTCACATTTAAAAGATAAATTGGGGAAGCTGGGTGGCTCAGTTGTTTAAGCATCCAACTTCATTCAGCTCAGGTCATGATCTCACAGTTCATGAGTTCAAGTCCCATGTCGGGCTCTGCTGACAGGTCAGAGCCTGGAGCCTGCTTCTGATTCTGTGTCTCTTTCCTTCTCTGTCCCTCCCCTACTCATACTCTTTCTCTTTCTCTCTCAAAAATAAACATTAAAAAAATAAATAAAATATAATGTTCACTACAGTGTCCCTTTCTATTCTCAGTGCTGTATAATATTCTACCATGTAAATATGTCACAATTTCTTTATCCATCCCTCTGTGGATGAATATTTAGATCATTCCAGTTTGGGATGATGATAAATAGTGCTGCTGTAAATATCCTTGCACAAGATTTTTTGTTAACACAAGTACAATTTTCTTTTGGATACCTAGGACTAGAATTACTGGGTCGCAATAATGAAAATATTCAATGTTGCCCAATACTGCCATGTTCCCAAAACGGTTGCAAAAAGGTATACTCTCACCGACAGTATACAGAGTTCCTATTGCTCTACATGTTCTCTAGCCATTGTTTCCATCAATTCTTATCATCGTTCCTATCAGTTAGTTCCTACTAATATTGTCATTATACAACATTTTTTTGAAATGTTCTTTTTCATTTAAACCATCCTGGTAAATGTACAGTGATATTGTATTGTGATCTTGATTTTCATTTCCCTGATGACTACTGGAAGTGAGCAACTTTTCATAAGTTTTTTGGTCTTTGGATATATTCTTTTTATACAATTCCTATTCAGGTGTTTTGCCCATGCTTTGCTTTTGTCTGTCTTTTACTTCTTGACCCTAGAAGTCCTTTATATATTCTGTAGTGTCTTTGTAAGCATATGTATGGCAAATTTCTCTCACTCTGTGGCTTGCCTTTGGTTTGAGTCTTTTGGTTCTCTTTTGAATATTGTGGGAACAATAAAGTTGAATCATGCCTCCACAACTTAGCTGTGAAAATTCAGGTGAATTAACTAACCTCTCTGAACCTCAGTTTCCCATCTATAAATGGGAATAATGACCCCCTCCCACCCAGCCTATATCATATTGTCATTGGGACGAACAAATGAGATACTATATATGCAATAGCCTGAGAATTTATATGATGTCCAGGTAAGAACTATGACTATGGTTTATAAGTATTAAAAATAACTTCTACTACTATTAGTCATAATTAAGTTGTCACCAGAGAAAGAAATAATTTATATGCTGGGTAGAAAAAATACATTTAGTACAAATTATCTATGAGGCTGATATCTTTGGTTCATGTCCATGGGATAAAGAACTTTTAGTTATACATCCTACACAGAAAATAAATCTTGTTAAGACTCAAGTAATGCTCCCAGATGTGAGCCTCAGCATTCACATAATGAAAATTTTAGGAACCTGCCATTTAACACACTTTATTTCTTGTTGTCTGTAAGTTCCCTTGCTTTTGAGTGGATACATCCAATCAGGCAAAGGTCTTCCCCATGAAAGTAGTACCACTTCTCAGAAATCTGGGCTTATTAACAGATGTGTTTTCCATATATTTTATTTCTTCACACCACAGGGCAACTGGCTTTTGTTGAGAACTTAGTGATTTGAGGGTTGTAGGGGATATAAGAAATGTGGACTAATAGAAAGTCAGATGCTGACGAATTGATATCATCTCATCCTACCTCCTAATTCTACACTTGGGGGAAGAGGTTTAGAGAGATAAAGTTACTTATCTAAAGATGTACATGGAGTAAAAACCAAAAGCCTAGAATTTTACTTTACAAACTGTGAGTTCTGTAGGGCAGGGACTTGTGTCTGTTCTGTTCATTGTCATAGCATGTAGTACCACAGGCACAATGCCTAACAGCCTTGATGCCACTTCCCAAACATGCGAAACTCATTCCTATCCTCAAAGACTAACTAAATAGAAGAGGCTGAACACTTGAAAAAATTATAGAATAACACAAACAAATAATTGATTGTTTAGGAAGTACACACAGCTGGGAAAACTTGTACAAATAATTAATTGTGGGATACTTTTCATGTTCCTCAGAGAATCCTTCCAAAACCACCCACACCCTAAAACAGAGTTAATCTGTGTTCTCATAGAAACATGTGCTTAATTCTATTGTAGCTGCATTGACTGTATTACCTCTTGTTATAGATAGCTATTCATGTATTTTAATACACTACACTCCACCTAACACAGATCTTGGTACCTAGTAAATGATCTATAAATCACTGCTCTATGAGTGACTCGACCAACAAATAGTTAATGATATCCTACTCTAGTATCTCAACTTATTTTCCCAATGCTGTCATCAGGGTGTTGAGATCCCTGAAGCTGCAGGTCAAGTAAGTAGGTTGTCTGCAAAGGGGTGGGGGGGAGATACATATATACATTTTTTTTCTATTTCTAGGAACTCGTAAGTTATAATATGAAAAAAACCCCACAGACTATAAGAAACTATTTGATAAAGGGTAACAGCCATCTCAACTCAGTTTTCATTTCTTCTCTACATATTCATTCATCCATTCATTCATAAACTCCATCTTTCAATTAAAGAACGATTCTTACGTAAAGAGTGGCTATCAAGAGCAATTTTTGTCTCTCAGGGGAGATTTACCAACATCTGCAGGCATTTTTGGTTTTTACAACTTAAAAAGGGATATTGCTATGGACACCTAGTAGGTAGAGGCCAGGGTGTTGCTAAACATGCAAAACAAAAACAAAAAGAGAAGAAAAGAAAAAACACAATGCAGACCCCACAGCAAAGACTTTTACAGCCCAAAATATCAGGAGTGTCAAGTTGAGAAACTCTGCTATACATCTAGTGTAGCTAAAATGTTGCCCATTGGCCTGTGTTACCCAGGAGAAACCTGAATTAATTTAATTAAGAGAAAGCATTGGCTTCTTCCATGGGCAAAAAGTATGCAATTATGCATCTCTCCTTCTCTAAGCTTTGCAGTGGATGAATCAAACAGTTTTGTTCATTGGTGGACAATCACTGGCCATTCCAATCTAACTGAGAGATTATCTTAAAAATTTGAATCATTTAGGTCATTCAATAATTAATTACTGTACGCCTTATAGCAGCCAACACTGTATTGTATGAAAAAAGACGGTAAAAGAGAAACAATTCACATTGAATTACTACCCTATTTTTCAAAGCATCTTTATTAGGTGGCCTCTTTACTATGTGATGACTTCCCTTTACGGTAAAGAAGATAGGAATTATTGGCCCAATCTGACAGAGAAGAAACTAAGGCAAAGGAAAACATATAGAGCCTCTGTCTGACTAGCTCCCTATGTTAGTCTGTGAGGGCTGCTACAACAAAATACCACAGACTAAGTGCCTTATAAACAACAGAAATATATTTCTCATAGTTCTGGAAGCTGGGGAATCCAAGATCAAGGTGCTGGCAGATTTGGTGACTGGTGAGGGCCCTGCTTCCTGGCTCCATCTTTCACTATCTCCCAATATGGTAGAAAGGGTGAGGGAGCTTTCGGAGGTCTCTTTTCTAAGGGCACTAAGACACTCACAGAGGCTTCACCCTCACGACCTCATCCACATTGACGGTTAGAATTTCAACACAAGAATTTTGGGGAGACACAAACATTCAGTCCATGACACTATTCCTCAGACACCTCTTTGGTAAGACCTGTTGTCACAATCAGGATCAAGAAGCTCAACTAAACTGATAATCCTCAAAGGTTCTCCCTACCTGGACAAAGTCAATGCTCCCATTAAGTGCACCCCAGAGTAGTTGAACTAGTTCCTGCCTATGCCATCTTAGACAATGTTATCATTTAGGGGCACCTGAGTGGCTCAAGCATCCGACTCTTGATTTCGGCTCAGGTTCATGAGTTCAAGCCCTGCATTGGGCTCTGTGCTAACAGTGGAGAGCTGCTTGGGATTCTGTCTCCTTCTCTCTCTGCCTCTTCCCCACTTGCTCTCTCTCTTTCTCTCTCTCAGAATAAACAAACATTAAAAAAAGAAATTGTTATCATTTAAAATAAATAAATACAAAACTAAAACAATAATGCACATTCTTTTTCTCATTCTTGGACTTCAGGAGGAAAAAAAAGTCAGGTTTTATTTTTCTGAATTTACTGAAGAAACTCGGCTCCTAGAAGTTAGATGATTTGCCTGAGGTCACATGCAGTGTTCTGACTGCATGACTAGGTCTTTTTCCATTTTCCTATTGTCACTTTTGTCCCAGAACTCTCTACTCTTTTTAAATCATCATCACTACTCCCCCCCCCCCAAACCCTCCACCTTAATTCTCTCTGGCAGGGGGCCGGAGAGGAAGCTGTTAAATGGAAGCACAAAACTCAGGGAAGCATGGCACCTCCAGGGATATTTTCGTGACTCACTAAAATAACTGGGTGCATCCTCTGGGAAACAGAGTCAGGGTAAAAAAACGTGGGAAGATCTTCTCCTTCCTC